GTGTTTTATTTGAAATTAAGAGTTAATGTAAGGACTGTTTCCATAAAACAAATTGTATTTGACTGTCCATCTACAAGAGTGTGACAGTTGTACTAAGATTTAAATGTGTTTGTTCCAGAGTCGTCTACAAACAAACAGTGATGTCCAGAGCTCTGCTGGAGCTGTGAGGAAGTTCATGAATGTTATAGCTGATGTTTCAGAAAAAAGGAAGATGTTTGAGAACCAAAAAAACACAGACCACAGATGAACAAAGTAAGTAACTCAACTAAAATGATTTAAAAATTTTAGAAAATGAACTTTCTATTGAAACAGTTATCGTGTTTCTACAGGGTGATGTGGCACTAGGAGGACTTTATACCAGATGCCCTTCCTGTTACTGCGTTTAGAGGAAGAAAAGCAGCACATGGTGAGTTTTGTTTCTGCAGATACAGTTCTAATGTTCTTGTGATTCTGTTCTGGTCCATTATAGGTACTTTAAATGTATTTAAACATGTACAACAGAGTAGATCATCAGAATGTGATCATCATGTGTTATTCCTGTGTCCACAGGCAGAGACCAGAGCGTCTTCACTAGAATAAATCTTCACACTGTCCAGCTCCAAACTGTGTGTCTCTGTACTTGTGCTCTCTGTGTGTTTGATTCTGTTTAAGACAAAACAGAACTGTGGAAAACTAAAGACTGTTTTTGTATTATTTTACAGAATTAGATCAATTAAATTAAATTACACATACTTATACATTTCACGATAAGGTACCATAAAATAAATATGCATATTCAGCATGATTTGTTCAAATTTCATCAACATGAAAAAGTGATGTTCATGTTCTAAGAAAAATATGTGTACTCTTGAGGTTACCTGGACATTACTGTAATAATTAAGAGTGAAAAAAGAACTGGAGAACTTATAATAATAATAATAATAATAATAATAATGAAATGTTAAGTGAAAGGCAGGGCCTCTCAGTTCTGTAATTCTGAACAAGAAATCAATGCACGTGTTACTAAGTTAATAATGTAGTTTTCAATTAACAAAGTGTAAAAATAAATAAATACAAAGTCTATATAGTTTAAGATTAAATACCAGAAAAAAGTCTAAGATATCTCTTTTAATTATCCCGTCATTGTGGGCCCTGTAGTTTACTGCTTACATGCCACCAGTCTGATTTCCTTCTAATGATTCATTCTCAAGGTTACATTATAGCCTTTACAACGCTGTACTGTTGCATTTTCCAGTGAGCTGTTTGGAACTTACTCCAACTTGAAAATGTCGCAGGGATTAGTGATATTTTGGGATTTGAGAAAAGTCAGTTTTTGGGGCTCTTGGCAACAACAGCAATTTACGTATTTGCATTAACCATATTTTTTTAAGGTTGTTTTTATGATTAAAAACAACCTCCTCATAAAAACAAAAAAAGTTTTTTTTTTTTTTTTAAAAACAAAAAAAGTTTGTTTTTATGAGAAAAGTTTCTGTTTTTATGAGAGCATTCCCTGATCATCAGTTGAATGCATTGTTTTTATTTTCTTAAGGCCTGAGGAGACGTTGTGAGATTGGGCATTTATGCTAGATTCCTGCTGCTGCACTTGATGGAGCTGGGTTTGACATAATGCTGCATTTTAGCACTGTTACCTCCATGCATTATGCACTTTTTTTTTTAAACTTTCTAGTTGTTATTCATGCATGTTGGGTCAATCGACAACAATCACTTCTTTGTTGTAGCATCACTTTCTAAAGCTATTGTGAAATAAATATGTTATTTATATTGACAATAAGAGACAAGGCATTGATCTGAACCAGTTTTTGTTTCAGATAGGTAGGCCCAGGCCCTTCAACATAATATAATCATTTTACTCCAGTATTCAAGTAAATTCATTGTGTAGTTAGGTAGATACTAGAATCATCAAAATTCATTGGCCAATAGCAAGCTGATTTAAATAAAAATTTCCTGAGAATTGACAAAATGAAAGCTTGGACTTACCACTTTTAACCCGTTGACACCCCTGGGGACCATTTGTGCAAATTTTGCACATTTTTTTTCACCATTGAAAAAAAAAAAAATTGTTGTTACATTTAGCAATATGAAACTTTCCAGCTAATGTTATTTTTGATCAAATTTTAGCTCTAACCTCACCCTTCCCATCTCTATGCTACAATTTTTGCTTATGTTGGTATCCTTTGGAACCAAACATGTCTCATTGACTTCCATTTTAAACTCACTTTTTCAGCCTGCTGTAATAAATACATTATATAACGTAATATCATGAAATGCATCTCAACCTAAGCTTCAAGGATGAAAACTAGTAGAAAAATAGTTTGACATTTTTCATGAGGTGGCCCTCTGGATCCCCAGGGGCCCCGATGCTTTTTTATATGGAAGTTCATGTGAAGCTTTCCTCTTCTATTGCAGGCCCTTGTGTAACAGTGAAACAAATAATTGGGGCTTAAATGGTCTGGAGGTGTCGATGAGGAGTCAGGGCAGTGGGCTGAATGTGTTTGAGAACAGATTTGTGTGTCTAAGTGTGAGAATTAGACTCTTGAAAAAATTGTCACAAAAATCCATTAAAAATCACAGAAATTGACCTGAAATATGCTTTAGCACATCATTTTAGAAAAGGGAGTTAAAAGGGCCACAGAAAGGGTACACCTTTCAGGTTGAAGGGGCCCTGGGGAACCTGGGGCAGGCTGAGACTGCCAATCTGTGCCATCTGCCCCTTTGACCACCACCAGCACTCATGCACACACCACTTTCATACTAGGCACAATAGGACACAACAACAGTTTTTGCAACTGGCGTCCCACTGTGGCACCTGATTTTCCCAGTGGTCTCCCATACATGTACTAGCCCATGCTGAGCTTCTGAGATTTGACTGGATCAGGCTTTGACAAGCTGGTATGGTCATGTGTTTATAGTTTCTTTAAATTCAAAACAAAAGCCCATGTTTCATTGGTTGTCTTTTTGTAAAAATGTTTTTTGTTATCTAAGCCCATTGGTAGAGGTGGGATTCTGGATGGGTCATAACTGCAAACACACAGTGATATTGTGCACATGGATCTAGAGTGTGCAGAAGCAGAGAGGGTCTGTGACAGTGACCAGGAGAGAAACTACAAATTCAAACTGAAATTAGACTGTTGGTCATGTTGCACATCAGTCAGAAATGGCTTTCACAGACATGGCCTCTTCAAAGGAGAGCTTCAGCTGTGCGTTGCTGATGGGACCTGGGGCCTCTACCTTCAGGCAGAGCACGATAACCATTACAATAACCATCATATTCTGTAGGTAAAAGGCAAACTGTAAATAATAAAACAATTTAATGATCAGTAAAACTAAACTGTAAACTAAAAACTGTTTAGAAAATATTAAGAAAAGTATATGTTTTATAGTATATATTGTGTTTGTTTAGCAATTCCTATTTCAGTCTCTCAAATGTTAATCCCATTACAAGTTTAAATATTATATATGTATTCCAAATCAGAATTTTAATATGTGTTAAAAAAGTCACAAAATGACATTATTCCCCATAACATCTATGCCCTGTGATGGTTTCCCTGTAACCCATGGGAACATGTTGAGGTATGGTACCTCAGATTTGAACTCCAGGAACTGTTCAAACACCGCGTGTTTGATGGTATCTTCAAAGTGGAACTAATTGATTCTAAAATCAAATCATAAAATTATTTGATTAAATTCACATGTTGTTAATATGTGTACTACTAAAATAAATTTAAAAGTTACATTTAATTGTGCAATCCTGCGGTAAATATGTAGACACAGCATGTGGCACTAAGCCATGGTAAATGCCAATGGTATAAGAATGAATCTGCTGCTGTGCAAAATATAATAATACACCAAAATGAGTGGTGTAAATTAACATACGTAAGGGTCTAATTGTAAATGATCTCATGTATTTTCTGCACTTCTGCTACTTTTGTTTTAAGTATTGTAATGCGTTTGTACCAAAAATATAGTTATTGCTTTTATGTTAAAAGGTCGCTGTACAACAGGAAGCGGCCACGAGAAAGAGGATGTTTACGTCCCGGCTAACAGTGAGTGGGGCTCACTGACAATTAGCGCAACGGAAAGTTTTGTTTGCTTTAATCTAAATGTAACTGACAATTTATTAACTTAATATATGGTCCATCCCAGCTTAGCACCTGGTTGATGTGGGAACAAGGTCAGTAAGGAATCATATTGGAATTACTTTGTTTTGGAAATGTTTTGTTTTTTGTACGTTCAGCCGTTATAGTTTTGTGCTAACGCGTTATAATTTTTGTCCACTAGGTGGTGCCAGTGCGCTTTTCTTAAGAAATGTTATGCGCAGTTTGACTAATTCATTTTAATGTGTAATTTCTTGTTCAACATAGATTAATACTAAAATTCAGACTTTATGCGATTTGTTGTTGGTAAAGAGTAATTGATCAGATTGTCAGACTGGAGATTGTTATAAATGGTTAAATGATTGAAACGTTAAAAGGAGTAAAAGGTACACTGTAAGAGCGAATTGTTTTTTATTTCACTTTTTTTTGTAGTCCTTACGGTGTGTTCACAAACAAAGCCCAAAAATAAAAGTTGTGAACCATCAGTATATGAGACCATCATTTCAACCAGGATGCTACACTAATAACATCAACTCAAATAATCCACCTGAGTTTCATTTTAGAACATTTTGCAATTTTTGTGCTTTTACATCTAAAAAACAGGTGATTGTACACCTAAAATGGCCCTCATCTAAAAATATTCATGTAAGTTTGATGTGTTTAGACAGAAGATAAGTAGACAAAAGATTTGAGCCATTGAAAGTACAAAAACGTTAATTCAATATTATTTTATAGCACTTTTACCTAGCAGGGACCATTTGTGACAAAAAATACTGAGGTGACATTTCTAAGCTACTCCTAAAAACAAGAAACATGCCATCTCAACTATGCTTGCACCATCAATGGTAATAATATGCACAAGACTGCACTAAATGTTAATATTCATTACTTGAATAAAACACTCAAAACATTTAGAATATTTTAATTGTACTGGTTCAAGTGTAACAGAGTAAACGGTTGTTTGAATACTTTCAAAGTTGTGTCCCACAGTCCAATAATGTTCCCTCTTGACACTAACAGGAGTGATGAGGTAAAGAAAAAAATGAGGTTAGAAATTTCAAGTACTGCAACAGAACAGGATTCAACTATACACTTGACTACTGAAACTAAAATGTAATGTACTGAAAGGATTTCATCATGGTAGCGCTCCAACGGTCTCATCCTTTCATCTTGTTCCAATGGAATACAGGTGCTCTATGGCCCATACATGTAGCAGAGAATTAAAATAAGTATGAGTAAATATTATATATTAATGTGGGAGCTCATGTGGAACCAGTTTGTAGTGGGCACCACATGATGGGCAACGCTGAGGCTCGCCTTCATGAAGCCAGAACCAAATCACTGCCGTGTTGTCTTCATCACCTAAGACAGGTTAAACACAGATGAACATAGTTAAAACAAAGGCAGAAGTCTTGATACATATAAACAAGCTAAATGTGAAAAACACTTACAGACACAGCCGACAATCCTCTTGTTACTGATAGAAGGAACAAGATGAGGGTCAGCCTTAGAGCCGGCATATTCCTTTGGCTTCATCATGTTATAAGGATCCTACAACAGGGATATGATAAATGCTTTGGTATAGAACACTTCCATTATTGAAATCTAAAAGCATGGACGGAACGGCAACAACTGAACCTTCTAGAGAGGTCAGCGTACACAAACTGTACAGTTTGTACAAATAGTTAAATCTCTAACACAAAATATAATTTCATCACTGTACCTGACATAAAAAAGCAGGTTACAAATACTGTGAAAAATGAATCTCTCAGTGTTTTTGGGTGTTATTTTTTAAACAATAAGATGATATTTTTGCAATCAAGAAGGCAGAAATGTGCCTATAAGATGTCTTGATAGATGTATAAGCATTACATATAAATATATTACCCTCAAAATTCAAGATAGACAACACAGCAAACTTTACTTTTGATCAGACCTTTTTGAGCTTGACCATTTTTGTATTTCTTCAAAATTATTCCAACATTATCTTGTAGATGATTCAACTCTCTTGTTACAAGCAGTGCATTATACATGTATGGCTTCCCGAAGTATTCAAGCTTGAATGAATACCTAATAAAGACAAGCACAATTAAATAACATACTGTTCCTTTTTCCATGGCCTTCATGATAACTTTCTCAAGTCCAGTGGCCTGCTCCTCGTCACTGGGAATTCCTACAAGAGCAGAAGAAAATCCAATCAGAACTAGCACAAGGTCTATAAAAACTTTTAAGTGATTATATAATTTTATACATTTGTCCAACTTCAAACAGAAGTTTACACAAAATGTATAAAATTATATACATTATCTAAAAATGTAAGATAATGTGCCAAAGAATGTTTTGAATATACGAGAAAATATAAGAAAATATTTTTATGTTGTTAGGCACTAGGAAGAGAACGCAACTGACCACCTTGAAATGCTCATTTAGCAGATGAGATCTGGATAAGCTGCGCTTCAACTCATCTTATCCAAGCTACAACTAAACACCAGGCGGGCGGTAACTATGAACCACTATAAGCATATATACGTCTTTGTATATAAGATAAAACATCACAACGTGACGTTTTAAATACGCAAGGAAGACGCTTGACCTCTTCAAGCGGTGACAACTACAACCAGTTAGCCACGCAATGTTTAGCACACTCAAGCGCCATCGTGTTGAGCGTTTAAAACGGCTCTTTTCTAAAAAGTTGAAGTGTTTTGTCTGGTAATAAATTCACCTCCAGCGGCCATTGTGCGGGCCATGACGGGTACCCGGGCAGACCTGCATGCTGTGGCAGCTCTAAAAGCTGAGCGGAGCAATAACCTTGCAGCCATTTCTCCTTCCTCACCGCTTCTTCCTTAGCATGAAAAAACGCATGATGATGACGTATGCTGTACTTGACTGGAGTCGGTAATGTGACGTCATGGGCCCCTAACAATAATGTGAAATGTGCTTGATGGGCTTCATGCAGAAATTATGAGAAAGTTAAATGTCCTTTTATGTAAAGATAACAGCCAATGAAGAGGAAGTAATCATGATAAAACAATTAAAAGAAGAAATGTATCAAATTTATGTTGAATTAACCAAAGGTGCCTTTATCAGATCACGGAGAAAATGGCTGGAACAGGGAGAAAAAAAAACACCAGTTATTTTTTTGCGTTGGAAAAAATAAAATAAAAAAAGAAACACTGATATCTTCTTAAACTTTGATGATAATGTAGTTTCTAACCCAGTTGAAATAACTAGACATGTTGAAAAATTCTACAGCAATATCTACACATCTAACTCTCTCCCGAATTATGTGATTCATTCATTCAGTCTATAAAAACCTCCATCCCTACGACCCTACGGTCACAATGTTATCAACCTATAACCAAAACAGAAATGGAATCTGCTGTTAAATCAATGAAAAAGGGAAAGCCTTCCCTATAATCAGCAGGATCAATGCATATTCTTTGTAAATACTTTGTAATACCTTTATAATTGGCAAAAGAAGTTACTGGGACCAGTTAAAGCTCCACAGCGGGAGCAGGACAAATGTATCAGACACAAAAAGGAGGGAAAAAGTCCGCTTCAAACAGGTGTTCTCGCTCTGTGTTTTTTATTTACTCATAGCATCGTAAAGTCCATTGAAGTCCGAAACATCACGGTGTTTTGAGAAAACAAAGCACCGAGAAAGCCTGGTTAAAGCGGACTTTTTTTCTCCTTTACGCGCTAGCAAAAGAGACACTCGTATGCCGACGTTAGCTGACTGAAAGAGGCGAACGTTCTTCCTCTCAGAATACAAATGACATGGGGGCATTTACTTAGCCTCTTTTAAAAATTAATACTCTTGCTTTTGTTGGGTATGTTGGGTAAACGCCTTATATCCATACACCAAACTGACGTTAGCATAAGCTAACCCTCCTGTTCTAAAGCATAGGCAACCCCTGTCCCGACATACAGTCACTCCAACAGACCCGCACTCTGTCATACCGTCATTTCAACAACTCTCCACCCCGACATGCCCCCATTCCGACACCAATGAACCAGGACTATACCAGGACTAATCTTGAATGAGAGAGAGAAAAAGAGACAGAACCGCCATTCCGTATTGGAGGGTATTTGGCGTAAAGCTCTGTGCCATTAGAGCGCGCAGAGCTTTACGCACGCTGCTCTGTTGGCACGAGAGGGGGCCACATACGCCTGACCACCTGCAGGTGAGAGCGCGTGGAGGTGCCAGGTTAACGAGTGCGTAAAAGTCCGCAACTTTAAGTACGCGCACGAGGAGAATGAGCGCTGCAGCCGCCTCTTTATAAACTTTTATGAGTTTATAAACTTTTATGAGTTTATAAGGGACCGAGGCATTTCTGGATCCCTGTGTAAGCCGCTCTGTCCTCTATGACCAGGTATAATTCTAATATTTTAGCCCTTATTCAAGAAAATATCCAGATTCCTAAATCATTGATCTTTTTAGTGTCTATCTGACTGCGAGCCCGGCACCGGTTCACTGTCGCAACACACTGAGCTTTACAGCGCATTCTCGTGTGCCCTAGTCTTTGCCAACAGGTAATGAATGTCTCCTGCTCCTGTCCATTCACAAAAATGTCCAAACTGTCACACAATTCAGTTTTTCGTAGTTTCTCTGCTTGGCCGTATCATTGCGCCTTGAGCCAAATGCGCGTCACCGCGCGCTTCCACCTGCAGTATCAGGTAACGCCCCGTAACCTCTTCATTCATAAAGTTTCAAATTCTTACGCGTCTGTCGCTTGTAGACGCGCTGTTCGGCTGCACTCGCAGTACCAGGACCTTTACGCACAGTGGTGCTCCTTCAACAATAGGATTCTGCCACTTCGACCAAAGGATAAAGAAATGTCGGAGTGCAGGGACGTTTGATAAAAAATGGAAATGCCGCTACTCTGACAATAACACGTCAATATCGGAGTGATGGTATGTCGGATCGGCAACTGTAAAGTTATGTTAGCTAGTAGCACTCACCTTCATAGTCGTAGGTGAAATTTTCAAAAAATAAACTGTGTCCGTTGTCCACTTTGGAGCGGGCTGTGATTCAATATTGATCAATGAGACGATCTACGTCGGAAAAGGATATTTTCAGTAAATTTATAAGGGATGTAGTCTATGTAAACAACTTCGGTTCGTCCATCATGAGTTCAATCAACAGAGCGATAATTCACCGGAAGTAGGCGTGCACAAAGGTCACTGAATGCGGAAGTATTACGTATCAGCGTGATAATAGTCTATTCCAGAAATCTTTTCAAAATCATTATACTAGACATAAAAATTATCTTCAAACACTGAAAACTATGTCTAACATTAAATCTATTAAAATTACAGAAGAATTAGGATTTTATTTTTAACCACTTCCTCATTTTCTTGTATTGATTTTTTTGTACGCCTTATCTGCCTCAATTTAAATTTACATGTATGTCAATTTTGTTTTTGATTCGTTTTGGCTTTAAATTATGTATGTAAGTATTTATGTGTGTATGTGTTTATGTGTATGTACTGTATGTGCATATATATCTCTCCACCCTCCACTCCTGCTGTAACTGTGAACTGGACTTTGCACTGATGCAACAACCATCCCATCTGCACTTTATACTGTATACACCTTTGATGTTTTGTCTTGTTACGTTTCTGTAATAAGAATTTAAAAAAAAATTAAAATATGAGCTTCATGCATTTCATGTTGATGCCAGTACACCAGAATCTTTCATTTGTAAGCTTATTTTACAAAGTTCTACATTTGATAACATCCTGCATCTCTCATAATACTGATAAAATTGATTTACACTCTGAGCCAACCGTAGGCAACAGTAAGATAATGAGAAGGAAGGATTAGCAATAGGCTTTGCCTTAATTTTTTATTTTTGTAACAAATTTGAAAGTTATTTCGTCATTTCACTGGTAATAGGTTGTAATAAAGTTTTATCCATATGTTCAAAATCCTCAAAATGCAAACATTAGATGAGAAAAAATACATTGCTGAAGTTATTGAAGCTCTACATAATTAGAGGGGAACATTCCATAGTGGCCATCAGGTCCAAAACCTCTCCACCAGCCATCATCAATCATGTCAATTCCTGTTATAATATCATCGGGGTCAAAGGTTATTTCTGTGTCATCGGCTGTGGGATAAGTTAGGAAATACAAAAATGTCAGCAATTGACTACACAATCAAACAGTTGCAAATGACAGAAGTACATACCAGCTTGGTAATCATAGATAGCTCTGGCAGTAATTCCCTGTCCACTAGCAGCCACATGGTTCTCATCAGCCTTTTGATGTGGAGTGATGCAATGTTAGAATTAATAACTAATGGCAAATGCAATAAATAAATATATAGATAGATATAGGTGCTCACCTGTGATGTATATTGTATATTTTCATATAAATCTTGCTCTGTTCCAGCTTTCACTGATTCCTTATACAAGTCATGACGATCTGAAAACAATATAACAATATAAAACTTAATAGCACATATTATATATAAAAAAAAAATTTAAAGCATTGCTCTATAAATCTTACACATCTGTACATTAGTTGATTAGGCATGTAATTAATGAGCAAGGAACCAATATTTATGCTAAACATACATCATTCAGTCTGCTTTCTCATAAAGTGCATGACTACAGACAATGAGTTTTCGTCCTTTATGTTCATCATAGTTTGAGGTTTTGCAAAGGAGGCTACGGTAGGATATTGTATTCGTAAATCTATTTTTTACCTTATTTTAATGTGTGTTCTTATTTTTCATATTTTTATTTTAACATAGTTTATATTATTATACCCAAAGAAAGTTTATAGTTTGTGAATTTTGTTCACTGACATTAGCATTAAAACTGATTCTGATTCTGCTGCTTTCTGTTATATCACCTGGAGAAGACTCTTCAACCTCGTCATCAAACTCATCCGACCACTCTCCTTCCTCGTTCTCAGCTGCATCTGTACGCAGTTACACATAACACACACACACACACACATACACACACAGACACAAAATACACATAACAATATAATCAATCAGTACAAAAATGCATGTGGACCAACTCAAAGCTGCTGACAGACCTGGTGACTGTGTGACCAATGGGGGGATTGGTGAGATCCCCTGAGTAGGTGAGTAGTCTCGCTCTGGTGAGGGTGGTCTGACATGAGACATGGGGGAAAGAGGGGACTGAGGGCTAGGGGAAGGAGCTGGTTCAGGATTCACAGAGATTAGTGGAGCAGGAAACGCATTGTACCGTGACTGCTCTGGAACCCCAGTGTTCTTCTGATACAAGAAGGGACTCTGCAGTTTACCTGAAACAACCAAAGAAACTATTAGATGGACCGATGGTGAGGAATTCATTCTAAGATCACTCTTGTTACCGGGTCTGGAAGCTGAAGGACTGTTTGAGTTGTTGCCATCAAAGCTCTGCTCTCGCTGCTTAAAGATATCTCTGGGATTGAATGATCTTTGTGAAATTAAAGATTTTGCTTCCTGTGACAAAATACATTCATAAAACGGCATTAATATTGATGCAAATCAGTGCACACTAATAGGTCAGAAAGTGAGGAAGTAGGTCCAGTTATACGTAGTGAACACTCACATTGGCTTTCTGTACGGATGCTGCGTGACTTATTCCTGTTTTCTTTTCTGCCTTTGTTTCAAGATTCTAAAAACAGTACTTTTAAAACAAACAAACAAACAAACAAACAAATTCAGAAATGACTTACCTCTCGCTGTTGTTCCTGTTCTCTCTCTTCTTGCTCTCTCTGCTTTTGATGTATCCTTCAAGAACATTAAAAAGTTAACTTGAATAAAATTATTAACCATGCACCAACAAATATAATTTTTTTCTCTATGATGTAGCTATTCACAGCCAGTGCGTGAGCTTATCTGTCGATGGAGGATAAGCCACATTACCAGTAATAAAACAAAATTGGTTTTATGGTTATAATTGACCTTTAGGAGGTCAGATTCAGAATCAGAATTACTTTCATATCACATTTTCATCCTCAAGAGGACATTTTATAAGGGATCTCTGGGGGACTCGGATCCACATTGTGACCCCTACATGCCTTCTTTTTATGGCCTAATGGTAATTTACTTATAAAACATTTATTTGGTTGCAGATAATATATTCAGTGTTATCATGAAGTGGTGTGGCATTCATACTTCTCCTGTTCGATTTGTTGGGCTCTCTCCTTGGCCCTCCTCTCTCTTTCCCTGGACTGGCGTTCCTCCATCTCTTTCCTCTCTCTCTCCAGCTGCTGTTGCTCCTGCTCTGCTCTTTTGATCTCCTCTCTCTTCCGGATTTCCTCATCTTTCTGTAGGAAAATCATATTATATTTGTCAACAATCCAGTTATTGTATTCAAAAGGTGAGCGTTTGCATTCCAAGTAATACCTGTGCCTTGACCCAGAAGTCGTCTTTGTTGATATGTTGTATTTCCTCTACTGCGTTGACTTTGCGATACACTGAGCCCTGCAGTGCAGAAGAAATCACTTTAAGTTAGTGTCTCTTTTAGTCCATCCATGTAAGTGTGTGTCTTCCGTTCTCACCACAGGCCCTCGGGGCACATCCACATATCCTGTCTCTTTATGTTTATGAAAGTTGAAGCTAGCACCAGACGCTTTGGCCACTTTGTCCAGGATAACATTAGGTTCCACATCATCGTCATCTCGAGCATTAATAGTCACATGGGCTCCCTGAAAGTAAGTAACTCATGCCAAAACCAATACAATTGTAGTAAACCACACCAAAACAAATACAGCTGTAATTACACTTTTATATTGATATACTATAGAACATAAAAACAACTGTTTAAGCCATGTTACAATGTTGTTACATCTTCAAAAACATAAATGGAGTTGTTTTGTTTCATTCATGTTTTTGTCTAATCTCCAAAGCTCCTCCTCGTTCCTCCTCGTGATGTCATGAAGCAGTAGTTTTCAAGTTAAGAAATTGCAAAAAAAATACCCAAAGGATTCTAGTGAAGGTGTATGAAGTTTAAAGACACAGTGGATCATTTCCTATAATTATCACATGACATCACAAGGTGGAACAGTGTTTTCTATTTGAGAGAAGAACCCAGCCTAAATATGCAGGGTGTGTGAGTTAAACATGTGTGAATGAATCCAAACACAACTCCTGGCATGTTTTTAATGAGGAGATGATACCACTTGGTTTTATTATGTCTTCATCTTTATTGGCATTATGTATGTGATAAACTGCAGGGGCACTGGCTTACATGTATATCAGCAAGTCATATCTAGTATTGGATTGTATGTTGTGGTATGGGTCCATATCTGGCCTACTCTCCTTTCCCCTCAAAAGCAGTGGTTGTGTAGCTATAATGTTCCTCATATGGTTTATTGCTGCTTTTGTAGGTCAAACTGTACAATTGTAAGAAACTACAACATTTCTATTATTTTGACTCACCTTAAGGAAGTTGGCCATAGATAAGACGTGGTTAGCACATATTCCTTTTCTTGAGCTGTTCACTCCTTCTCCTGTCTGCACACAAAAGCACTCACTTAACAGGAAGAATATATTTAATAAACATGTCTATAAATTATTGTTAATATTTCTTACCCAGTTTATGAGAACATATTTTGGCAAACCAGAGTTAGGATCTTCGACTCTACAAAAGGCATACATGACCTTTCCACTGTTGAATTCTTCTACCATCTCCTCCAGACCTCCATCTGTACACAACACCCTATTTTGTACTCATTTACAAATAGATTTTATCTGTCCAATGATCACGTCTTACCTCCCTTTTCCGCAAGCCGTATATCATTACTATTTCCTTCATAGGTAAACAGCGCCCTAAAGAATATGATAAATTTATATTCAAGAGTCTATCCTAAATATTTTGGGTTTCATAAAAAAGTACTCACCAGTTTGTTCCTGACTTTCCATCTAATACGTCTTTATAAGCTGCCATCAGCTCATTGCCATTCTTACTCAAATTGACAGCCATGGTGCCCAAGTGTCTTCATTAACATTTCAGGGAGGATGAGTTGCCTTTTACTCTCAGCAACTAAAATACATCAAATGAGGTCCAATAACGTTTCTCGTCTGAGTGAAACTAAATATATTTGTATTTCAGCGTTTTAGTTTTTTGTATGTGTCGGACCAGTCAGGGAAGCACCCTAAACCTGATAAACAGCATTCTTGAACTTGTGACTCAGCTCTGGGTTTGTCCAATTTCATTCAGCTAGCAAGGTCATGCAAACCAGTGAGAATGATCCAAATACTGGGAGAATTAAAACACTTACTAGCCACTTCAGACAACAGAATTTCATGCACATCTCTTTTTGGACTGAATTCAATTTCACCGTATCTGAATTAGGCCTAATCATTATCAGATGGAAAATGTAAATATAAATAAACTAGCATATTATTTATTTATGTATTTATGTATGTATGTATTTATTTATTTATTTATTTAGACTGTTAAAAAAGAAAAAAAAAATCTTAAGAAGTACGTATAACCACTAGGTGGAGACAAATCTTTTTACGTTCATCAGGAAGAAACTATACATCACGAACTTGTGGTTTACCTGAACCGTTGCTTAACCATGGAGCCTGACACTATGACGTTATTACACCTACCCTTACGCAATGCCCGTGAGTAATGAGTGTGCCATCATATCAGAGAATAAGTCAATTGTTGCCTGTACTAAAATTTTAAGCAGTAAATGTTTATTATAGTACAATGGGCAACAAAGTGTGAGTTTTTTTTTTATTTTTTTATTTATTTTTTTTTTATGCCAATGTATTATCCAAAAAGACTGGGAAGAATTTTACACTACGGGACCACCATAGGGTAATTGAGACAATAACATGTGAGTGCCTTATTAACCCAACATCACAAGAGCTGCATGTGTAACATGAATGTAGTTTTACCTAATTCACAAATGGCCCATAGACATGCAGTATATTCAGTTCAGTCCAGCTCTGGCTCCTTGTGGTTAAATTTGGGGGAATTTTTTCTGCTAACATCCCACCCTGGTTTGAGTTCCTTTTTGTGTCTCATGTGATGGATGAATCGATGTGACCAGGGGGCTTTTCCTCATGGTGGACACTATACACCCAGTGCTTTGTTGTTGTAGCTGCACACCAGAATAAAAGTTTGTAGTGCTGCAATATGAATGTTATTCTGTACTGGAGTTTCTGGACAGTTAGCATGTTTTTTGTTTGTTTGTGTTTTTCCCTTTGCGTGGGAGAAACATTATCAGTTGTCTTAGAAGGAAACATAAGAGGTATGAAAACAATAGAAAACCTAATATTCAAAGCACAGAGATTGTTGAGTGATAATAATGGTTAAAAGTACGTGTCTGTGTAATCCCTCAATTCCCTCAGTCATCTAGATATTAAAAGTACATAATGACTTTTGAATTTGCTATCCAGGGCTATTTGTCATTACACTACATTTTATTTGTTGATTTACAAGTCTGATGGGCAAATAATTACCCATTACATCATTATCAGGGTTTTGTTAGAATCCTAAACATGGTGTAGATGCAATATTGTTTAAAAATATAGCTACTGTTTATGATATGAATGTCAACAATAGTGCATTTTGGCTAAGCAGATATAGCAAACAAAGAGGTCTCTCAAAAACTTTTAATTTCCAGATATGTATTAATGTCTCATCTGCAAGCCTTCACCAACTAAAGATACTTTATGTATTTATAGAAACTACACTGGTTTAGGTCACAGCTGACAGCCTTATCTTTACTGTTTTCTGTATACCTTGTTATGTATGTGGATTACATCAAGCCTGGCTTTTTCCAACTGGGCCAGTTTTTTAAGATTAAAAGAGAAATTAGCACATGGATCTGGCTTTCCACCAGATGCCTTTCCAGCCAGGGGACCAAATATCAGGGACCTGCCCAACAAGTACACTGCCTTATGATGTCTAATTGCTCTCATGATTAGCTCTGGCCTCGGGTGGTCACAGCCAAGATGGGACAAAATAAGGTCAAAATCATTTTCAGTTTCAGACTTTGTATTTTTGTCCTTGTCCTTCCAAGTGTTAATCCAATTTCCCAGTCCTACTATCTTGTTGACAACAATTTAATTACACTGTGTTTTGGCTTCATGTCGCATATACAAACAGGCACAGTTTGGTGGGTCAGCAGATAATAATGATCCTATTAGTAAATGAATGGGAGATTAATAGACTCGAGCTCAAGAGCAAATTACCCCTTGGGCCAAACTTCCCCACCTCCCTTCCCCCCGCCCCGAACTATTCACTGTGTGTCACACACCCTCCCTCTCCCGCTTATCTGCCCGAGCTGTCACAGGTATCATTAACATTTCCCTTCACACTCTGGCCTCCCTGCCACTCACCAGATAGCTCCAGAGATGTGCACATTTGCACACAGACACACACAGACACAAACACGCACACACAGACACACGCACGCACACACACACACACACACACACATTCCGGTCTCCCTACAAATGCAGCGAAGTTTCTCCAATCTTCTTTGAGTGGTGGACATTTTGAAAGAGGTTTAAGCTCCAGGTGCACACTGGGGCTCAATCAGGCAGCAGCTGTCCTAAAGCAATAACCTTACTCTACAGCTGTCCATGACATCACTACAGAGACATTACAGAAACATACTGTATGGTCAAAGCACGGATGGACTTTTAACAGGAGACAAAAAAGGAAGGGCGCCATGATCATGAGTGCATTTTTTTAAAAGATGTATGAAAGTTTCTCACTTGGATGAGGGACATGTGGGTTGGGTTATATGTTTTAAAGTTAGGGTTTACACTGTCACATTTTGTAACTGCTGTAATGAACCGTGGGTGTGAAAAACACACTCATTCTAAAAACACAGACAAACACTCTCACACCAAACAAAATAGATCTCCCATTATCATAAGAACTGTTAGAGGCTAAAAGCAACAACAGCAACAAAAACTACAGGTTTTTATCTGAGATCAAAATTATTATTTGCATTTTTATACAACAAGATTTTTCAGAGTCGGCCAGTGTATTGAAATTGTGCAATGCTTCTTGTTCAGTATTCCATCATTAAATAATTTGAACGTTGACACATTTAGTTAGACATAACTATTTATGTGGTCTGATACTATATTCACTTCCCTCATCGGTATTTCATAATATTTAACCTTTTCATGTTTGCTTCACTTCTGTTTTTTCTACATATTTCACTATGATAATTTATCTTCTCATTTAGCATTCATTAACACTAAAAATGAATGCATTTTTTCTAATTTGGGTGTAAAAATATACTGGTATATAAACACACACATAATGCTACCTCTTGCAGCTCAATTGTGTCCCCTGTGGAGAGCAGCCTGGTGGTAATTAGGATCCATTACCTCACAACCCCCTTCGGTGCGACTCTATGTGCTTTCTACAGTCAGAGGCACTTTTGCATTTCTTTTTGTTTGCCCATTAATGGGTCTCTTTTCATTACCTTTCCACTCACCTGACCTTGTTATTTACTGACTTGCATATTTATAAGTCTTTTGACTGTTTGAACCTTTTACATTTGCACATAAATTTCATATATTTTTACTCCCTTAGGGGTTCTTCCCCATGTAAAGTAACTTATTGCATCACTGACCCTTTGTCACATACAATGTTTGGAGTACACTGAGTGGTCTCTACACTGTAAAATCACAGACACATTCATACCATCCAGTTGGCTTTCAGGAAACAAAAGAGGGATTTGATTTATACCAACACGCTCACATCTCTGCACTCTCCCATGAACAAATGTGGTACACAGACACACAAGTAAGCTTTTGTCATGGTGTGTGTGCAGTGTGGAGCCCTGACTGAAGAGTTGCAGTTGCACAGTACTATGGTGACACCCCTGTGCTTCTTCACTTTTCCCAGTTCTGCTCCAGGCAAAATGAGCTGCTCTCACTGGCCCTGAGCCAAAGACTGGGGCTCAGTGTAATCCCCTCAACACTGATATACCCAGCTGCTGTGTATGTGTCAGGCCTGCTCACTAGTTACGTCTCTACAACATATAGCACTTTTTCCACAACAGTTGAGTGGCTATCTCCAAGTAACAAGACTGTAAAGTGCTCATTACTTAAGCTATTTTATCTCAACAGTACAAAACCACTTGCTGAGACAGACTGAGTCATATTCAGTTTAAATCTTTTAGCTTCTTTTCCTGCCTGTTATATTAGAAATGAAACTGGAGAAGATAGGCTGTACCTTGAATACAGATGTGGTAACATTTTAGGCCTACATAATGGAGTTGTTTACCATACTGTAGCCTTTAAAAATGGTAATAGAGTGGTAACATTAAAATACATTTAAAATATTTGATTTATTTTTTTCTTTTTATACACTACATTTTAAGAGGCAAATTTGTTTAGGTCAGAAACTAAATATATGGCCCAGACTTCCTAGTGTTTATTGGTGCATAGCTGTCCTATTGTTGTATAAGTTACCACAATGCAATGTAATGTAAAACCATGAATTGATAGACATAACATATGTTTCCTTGCATCGTTACAGCTGGTCACGGCTTTGACCTGTGACTGGCCCTTATTGTGCTCCTCAGCTCCAACAGCAAAGTCATGTGAGAATGATCTTATTACTGAGTTTTAGTTGTCATACTCAAGTTGGTTCTCTGTCTGAGTCTAGTGCAAAAAGGGATTGAATTGATGAGTAAAGGGAAAGGTTTTTGGTACCAGTACACGTTATGGCTTATATGATAGTGTTCGTTTTTTAAAATGATCATTTTCTTACAAATCACAGGGTCAAAGAAGTCTGTCATCTGCTTCTTTAAGTTGGAAAACTCTTCTTTTTCTTTACCAGCTCCTCCCTCCCTGGTCTTTGTGTCTGCTCCGCACAGAAAGGAAACCTGTTGTGCCTGTTTAAAGATCAGTGTAGTTGGGGCTGGCCTTGTGAAAGCGTGTTGTACAACTGTTCCTGGATCTGTAAAGACTCTCCCGTCTTTTCCTCAGCACTGAGCCCCCGCCCCGCGCAGACCGACAACCATCGCCTGTCTTTTCCTTCCACTCCACTTGAGAAACAACCACCAGCATATTGCTTTCCCACGCCTCCATATTACGGACAGGCAATCAAAAATCCACCACAAGGAATGTATCACGCGGAAACGGACACTTTAAACATCGTATGCGGGCTTTACGTGTGGCTTTAAACTGGAAGTACGATGCAAGAATCAAACAAGAAGGCAAACAGGGCCTCTGCTATTCCCACCGGACTGGACTAACTGTGCGCAAGAAAACTTTTTCCCGAGTGCAGACGCACACTACTATTCCGCTTATTTGTTTTACCAGCACGGTCTTACTTCTGGATTATTTGGTAATCCGTTTTCTTTGATATCACTACATCGACATTTGCGTGTCATACTTACATATTTCACGGTAAAATCCAATTTAATGAAGAATTTAGCCTCTCCGCACATCAGGAATCCAGAGGACGCGCAGGTAGCATCTAGCTTAGCCTGTTAGCTAGTGTTTTTTTAACGTACATAATAACGATAAAGTTAGTGAATTAACACGAACATTTGTCATCATGTTGTAAGACCAACAATTCATCACACACACGTTTTTCGCCAGTCGGTTTGACGATTGGTTTGTTTCACGAAGTGTTGCGTAAAACTCGCTGGAAGTCAGATTAGCCAGTCCAGCTAGCGTCCAAACATGCCGCAGATGAACGGTGGAGACGGGGATGATTTGGGAGCAAGTGATGAACTCATTGCCTTTAAAGATGAGGGTGAACAAGAAGAAAAGAGAAACGTTTCTTCAGAGCGGGACTTGGACGATGTCAAGTCTTCTTTAGTGAATGAATCGGAGACAAACAGCAGCTCGGATTCAGAGGTAAGTCTAAACTGTGAAAAAACTTTTGCCCCCTGCCACTCGTGGATAAAATATTCTCCCGCACTATCTGAACCTCAGGCTTTGTTTACATTACTGTATGTGTGGTTTGTCAGCAGGCAGACAGACGCCCGAAGCCCAGACACGATTTGGAGAGCAGAGCTAGACAAAGTCAGCTATTTCAAGAAGGTAATAAACACTGAGCACACTTGTGGAAATGGTCTTACCGTTTGTTCCTCAGTTATTTGTGCCACTCATGTTTCCGTAGTTGACTGTACAAATAAAGTTTCTTTCTTCACTTTTTTTTTTTTTAACCTTTTTTCAGCACTGAGAAGACAGGATGGGAGTCTGTTTCAGCCTTCCCCATATGCAGGCTATCCATTTTTTATGATACCAGACCTGGGGAACCTCTGTAGCCCCTATGGAGCTCTCACACCAAGTGCGCGACCAGTAAGTATATTCTCGATTGTAACCATTCCCACAGCTGCATTTGTATTGTATTGTTTTAGTTAACTTTTTAGTAGTTTATGAATGCTTACATCATGCAGATTAAATTGTCCAGGGGGTAATTTAAGCTTCAGTTTACCCTATGCAAAATCACACTGCTTT